CGGGCCCGGGGCGGGCACGGCTGCCTGGGGCGGCGTGCAGAGCCATGCGGGGCACAGCGGGGACACACACACATACCATGGACAGTGGGGAGGGAGGGGGAGAGGGGGAGAGAAAGGGGCATCGTTAGTGCGAGAGACACCCACCGCCACCGCGCCGCTCCACCGGGCCCCGCCGGGCAGGGAAACGCGTCTGCTTGGAAAAGCCCGACCACAGAGCTGGGAGAGCAGCAGGGTTCACTGCAGCAATGGGGCTTTCTCCTTCCCCAAAAGGAGAGAAGTTGAGGCAGTGAAAACCGCTGCTTTCCCCGTTCTGGTGGCACCTGAGCCGGGCCGGGGAACGCCGACACGCCTGTGCTCACAAACACCACCCAGCAAACACGGAAACCAAGCGCACGCAGAGCAGAAAAACAGTCCACACCTTTTCTCTGGAAGAAATCATGGGAATAAATTCTTCAGCAAAGGTTTTCACCGTGCCTTCAACTCCAGCCTGTTAGAGGCCAAATTTTGAGCGGCTGATCCAGAAGCTGATACCCCCCAGCCTCCCATGCCTTCCCTTCCTCGTCTCTACCTGGCAACAGCATTTGGGCTGGTGCTTTTCTAGGCTGCCTGTGCTTGAAATTACTGGTGCTGTAATGGGAAGGAAGCATGCACCAAAAGTGGGGGTGCTCACACCCCTTCCCAGACTCATCAGGGGCATTTGAGGGAACTGGTGAGGGGGGAGGCAGTGCAGTATCTCCATGGACCCTGCAGCCGGGTGAGGGAGCAGGAGGAAGCACAGATGAATCTGTTCTGTCATGGAGAAACACAGAGCATAGGGCTGGGTATTCCTGGCTCAGTGCTTCCCCAGCTCCTTCTGCAGCTGATGCCCCAGCCCAGGGCTCAGGACAGGCCACAGTTGGCCTTGCAAACACGAGAATGTCTTTCTCCAGGTCAGAGGATATCAGTCTATTAATAGTTGTTGACATGCCAGGAGGTTGTTTGTCAGCCTAGGGACAGCCACCCAGCCCAGCTGGAGCAGCACTCGCACTACAGTGGTCTGTGGGCACAAAGAGCAAGGGACTGTCCTGTGCCCATCCTTTGCCAGGTGGGTTTTCATGTCACAAAGCAATATTTTGGGATGCTCAAGTACCTCAGTGATGCAGCCACATCCTGGGAAATGCTCTTTGCTCTCTCCCTGGGTGCTGAGCACGGCCAGGCTAAGCAAGGGGGCAAGAGCAGCATCAGAAACATTCCAGGAAGGTCTGAGTAATTCGGCTGCATTTTGTAATGCAGGGGGCAATGGCCAGGCTGCCAGAGGCTGAATCCAGAGGCTGAATCCAGAGGCTCCCTAGGCTGCCTCTCTGCTGCTGGGAGGGAGCCAGGCTGGGAGCTGCTGCTGGCCACCACAGCTCCAAGGGGAAGGATGGGGCTGAGTCTCTGGGTTTGGTTTTTGGAGTGTTTGGTGTAACTCGAGCCCCAGAAACAGGGCTGAAAGAATCTGGTCCCCCACTGCTCAGGGATTGCTGTGGGAACAGACTGCAGCTGAATTAGCAGTGGGGTGACATCCACAAGCAGACACTGCTGGAAGCCAGCGCTGCACTGAGAGCTGAGGTACTTCACTGCAAAAACATGGGAGTGTTTTGTGCCAGAGTCAAGCCTTGGTCCCCTGTGAGCCATCTGCAGATCAGGCCTCAGTGTATCGTTTCTGTAGCTGGGGAAGCTCCTGGCTCCTTCTGGCATGCTTTAGGCTCGCTGCAGCTGCTGCCAGCTGGCCCTGACACATGGCTGATGCTCCAGGGACCTCCTTGCAACACCCCCTGCCACGGCACTGCCAGGACCCCACCTGAACACTCAGAAGCTCAGACAGGGAAGCCTCCACAGCTGCCCATAGCCACAGCACCCATCACCTCCAGCAGCTCTCCACAGCTCCCACCAGGCATGGGGCTGTCCCTGTCCCCCATCCCAGTCTTGTTCCTGCTCTGGTCCCCTCTCCAGCTCAGTGCATATGGGGAAAAAACCCCTAACTAACAACATGAATCACAAAAACAAGCATGGTGAACAGGCAGGGAACATCTGCTCAGAGACTTGCTGCCTGCAAGAGGGAGGACAAAACCCTTCGAAACCTGCAGGATACCTCTGTGGTCCCCTAAGCTGGGACATCACAACCAACGAGGGGCTACCAAAGCAGAGCATGGCCATCAGGAGCTCCTGCACAGGCAGGAGGGTTTGTCTCTGATTGCTGCTGGATTTGCAAGGAAAAGGTCATAAAAACATCATTGAAATTGGCTGAGTCATCAATCTACAACAGAAACTCCCAAGGTCTGAACAGAGCTGGAGAAGATCTGCACAGGAGGAATCCAATCCACCTGGCTGGTGTCAAACAGGGCTCTGGATGGCTCTGGGAAGGGGCTGTGGGTTCTCTAGGTACAGGCACCTGCTGCCAAAAATCCCTTGTGCTTGGCATGAGCAGTGGGAATAATTTGGGAAGATAACCCCCATGGAACTGAGATTTACTCCTCTCAAATGACCCAAAGATGGCCAGATCCCTGGTGGCACATCCCCAGCTGGGACAGGCAGGCTCCACTGCCACCTGCCCTCACAAAGGGACAACCCCACCCCCCCAGCACTGCCCTAGGCCTGGGCTCTCCCAGGGGAACAGGAATGCTTTCAGCAGGGGCAATGTAGGGAGCAGCTGAGCTTGGCTCCTCCTGGAAAAGTGCTGTCCAGGGCACAGCTCAGCACAGTGCTGCAGCCGATGGCAGAGCCTGCCAGGGCTGGGCCCCCCACACCATCAATCCCCCCTGTCCCTCTGTGGGCAGGATCACACCAAAACTCTGGGTGATCTCCCTGGCTGCTGCCTTGCCAGGCTGCTGGACAGCAGCAGTCCCAGCTGGAGATGGTGATGCTGCTCCTACACCGGCAGAAAGTTGAGAACCATCACTGGGAGAGGAAAGGGAAAAAGGAGGCGCAGGTCAGGGGCTGCTGCAGTCACCACAGGGCTGGGCACCGTGGGCAGAGCATGGGGACCAGGGGAGAAAAAGATGAAGGGCAGAGCTGCTCCCATGTGGTGTAAGCTCATCTGCTGACATCTCAAGGGTTTGCCAAGCTCTGGAGAGACAAGGTGCAGCAGAGGCTGTGGGAAGCCAGTTCTGTTGCTTTCCTCACCTGCAAGATCAATTATGAGCCAGCCATCCTCCTCCTCCTCTTCCTCAACAAAGGGTTTGGGCTCCTCCAGGCCCTCTGGCGTGTTGCTGTCACTAAAGAAGAGGCTGGTGAGACGCTGAAACATGGTGGGGAGAGGTCCAGCAAGATGGATGGGGAGATAGAGCTACTGCTGGGCACCAGCTTCCAGCACAGACACAGGAGAGATGGGCAGGGAGGGGAAAAAGAGCCCTCAAGGTCTCAGTGACAGATGTTTGGCTGCCAGAGAAATCAGAGCTAGGCAGTGTGCAGTGCAATTGTGAGGTTCTTCACTTGGCTTCAGTGCAAAGGCCTGTAAAAGGGAGAGAAAAAGGAACATTAGAACAGGCTGGCAGTGTGGCCCTCCTGCATCCCAGGGGCTCAGATGGACTCCAGGGGACAGCAAAAAGGTGGCTCTGGCACTTCTCTGTGCCATGAGCTGTCCCAGCTGGTGCTGTATCTGAAAGCAGCAGTGAAGGGCTGGGTGCTGTGCCCTGCAGCCCCCACCTGCATCAAGCCCCACATTGTGTCCCCATCCTCATGGGTGGGGTGCCCAGGAGACCCATCCCCAGGAGCTGGCAGGGACAGAGCAGACACTGTCCCTAAGTCAGGCAATGCCAAGCTCCTCGCAGCAGGCAGGGTGAGGACAGTGTTGTCACAGAATCCCAGACTGGTTTGGATTGGGCAGGACCTTAAAGCTCATCTCATTCCACCCCCTGCCATGGGCAGGGACACCTTCTACTATCCCAGGCTGCTCCAAGCCCTGTCCAGCCTGGCCTTGGACACTTCCAGGGACCCAGGGGCAGCCACAGCTGCTCTGGGCACCCTGTGCCAGGGCCTGCCCACCCTCACAGGAAAGAATTCCGTCCCAATATCCCATCTAACCCTGTCCTCTGGCAGTGGGATGCCATTCCCTTATCTTTTCACTCCAGTCCCTTTTCCTAAGTCCCTTTCCAGATCTCTTGGAGCCCCTTTAGATACTGGAAAGTGCTCTGAGGTCTCTCTGGATCCTCTTCTCCAGGTGAACACCTGCAGCCCTCTCAGCCTGTCCGAGCTGAGGGGCTCCAGCCCTTGGAGCATCTCTGTGGCCTCCTCTGAACTCACTCCAGTAGCTCCACATTCTTCTTCTCTTGGTTCCCCAGGGCTGGAGGCAGCTCTGCAGGTGGGGGAGTCTCACCTGAGAGGGCAGAGGGGCAGAATTCCCCCCCCACCCTCATCTGCTGCCCACACTGTGGGGACAAGCCCAGGATGCTGTTGGCTCTCTAGGCTGGAAGCACACACTGCTGTTCACATCCAGCCTCTCATCCCAGCCCTTTGTGAGTCTCTGCTTCACCTCTGCTCAGCTCATCACTGTTTTATCCCTGGGAAAGCAGATTTCCTCCAGTGTGGGGAATTAATTTCATTAATGACTGCCAAGCTCCTGGCAAGGCACAGAATGGCAGCCAAAAGGTGCAGAATGTTATTTGTGTGTTATTTGTGTGCCTTTTGGTCCAGAGACATTAAAAGGGTATTAAAAGGCCATAAAATGCCATGAGAGCTCAGTGCAGTGAGAGGGGACATCTGGGTGCTGCTGTGCTTGGCACACTGATGTGGGTGCATTTAAAGGGTGAATCCCCATTTCATGGCAAAGCCCCAGCTCAGGGCCCTGTCAACCAAGGGGCCATGGAGCTTGAGTGATCCTCCAGCCAGGGGCAACTCCATCTGCTCTAGGCAGCATGGAATGGGAAGGGTACAGGAGGCACCATGTGTCCATACACACCCCAGTCCTCCAGCAGGTCAAGTTCTAGATCAGTCCCATCACCCCGTGAAGTGGCTTCCCCAGCACCCTGGGAAGGGGGCTGGCCTGGGCACTTCTGGGGCTCAGGCACTCTTTTATTCATCCCTGTGGGATGGCAATGCCTTTTGCAGTTTCTCAGGTGCCTTGGGAGGAACAACATCTGCTCTACAATGGAGAAGATGAGAAATCAAAGGAGTCTCCCCCCTGGTTGGGATCCCCTGGACCTCAGGGGCTCTGATCTTAGACACTCCCAGATGCAGAAGGGAGTGATGGAGCATTAAGCAGCCCTGCAACATCCAGCTCTCCCTCCCTGGCATGGCCAGGGCAGCAGTGTGACACTGCTTGTCCCTAGAGCAGGTCTCAAAGCTCCTGGTGACTCCAGTTGTCCCAGAGGCCCAAGGCAGACCCTGAGCCACAGCCATGCCCTGCTGCAGACTGCAGCACTCCAGGGGCAGCCCAGCCTCCCACTCACTCTGGGATGGCTCAGCTGAGGCCTGTGGAGCCTCTCACCAGGAAGAACGGGAGGTCAGGGAAGACTCTCTGATCTGTGTTCTAAGAAGGTCCCTGGCTTCCCCTGGAGGCACTGAGCAGGGAGGGAATTGAGGCAGAATTGCCTCTCTGACCCCACAACCACCACGGCCATTCTGTTACCCTCCAGTGCTATCAGTGGAATCAGCCAGACACCCCCTCTAGCTGGATCATTAAAGCACAATAATAGAAGTTAGGGAAACAACAGGCAGAGGGGCTGGTGCCCAGCTGGGCTTTGAATGGACTCTGATGTGCTCCCTCCCACGGGATGTCCATGTGCATCCATCCCCACCGGGGTTCCATCACACCATCTCGGCCTGGAAACCCAGCACCTGCCTGAGCACTCGCCTAGTCAGTAAATATCTTTGAATACGACATGAATGTTATTTATTTATTTAAGAAGTTAATTACATATCTAATTGTGGCAGAAACTCCACTGCTCCCAGGTCCCTGCTGGTGATGTCCCAGTCTCCCACTGCTTGTTCCTCCCGAGGTGCCTGGGCAGGAGGGCGTGGGGCAGGCACAGGGGTCACAGGAGGCCAATCCCCCCCAAGGCCACCATGGCCCTGCCTCAGTGCAAGGTGAGTGCTTATTGAGCTGGGGCATTGCCAGGCTGAGCCAAAGCTGATCAGGGTCACCAGGCAGGCATCACCTGAGGATGACACAGAGGGGCTGGGGACAGCAGGGTCCCCTGTGCTGTGCCCCAAGCCCACCACACCAGGAGGACACTGTCAATGCTCTTGACTTACCTCATGCAATTGTCAGGCTTTCTCCCTGCCTAGGTATGGATGTCACCCAAGAGCAGAGCTGGGCACACAGGGACAGGGGAAGACAGTGGCTCCAGTCTGGCTGCCAGGGGAAGGTCACCCAGAAAAGCACCCAAGCAGCCACCACAGGCCAGGGGCTGAGCCAGGCAGGGATTTTCCCTGTTGCCTAAGCAAAGTCAGCCTGGAATGTCTCACTGCAGTGAGTGCTTCCCATGCTCTGCAGGCTTGGCTTCGGGAGCCCCCTGCAAGAGTCTCATCCTCCAGCAAACTCAAAGTCAAATAACCAATGACACAGTCAAAACCTTTTCATTTTCCTTTGTTCAATCATGACAAAAGCCTTCACAGGACAGTAGAAAGCTGTTCCCCCAGGAACCAGAGGTAACTTGTCTTTTCTGAAGACACAACAGACACTATTAATTTTGATTGTCCCCTCTCCCAAATTTAACTCCTTAAGTTAAGGCACAGGGGCTCACAGGCAGCTGCCATAGCTCTGGAGAAAGTGGGAGAGAATTAAAAGCTTCTCTAAGAGCAAAACTTGAAATGGACCATTTTAGAGGATCATTATCCAAAGAATTCAAGTCACCAGCTATCACGCCCCCCAAACTAGGAAACATGGGGTGGCCCTGACCTCCTTCCTGGTGCAAGGGAGTTGGTGCCATGGGTGGGCTACGGTGGCAGGATCAGCCCCCTGGTGGGGCCCAGGGAGCTGCAGGAAGATCCTGGCAAAGCCTTCAGGATCAAACCTGCAGGGTGAAGTTAGGAGCGAGGCCAAAAGGTAGGCAAGGACCAAAATGAGCACTCATCTTCCCCCTCACTTTATTCTGCCTCCTCTGAAACACTCAGGTTAAAGCAGCAGGATGAAGCTCTGATCTCCAAAACTCTCAGCAGGTTTGTGGATGACACTGAGCTGTGTGGAGCAGTCAATTCAGCAGACAGACGGTCCTGGGCAGGCTGGAGGAGTGGGCTCATGTGAACCTCCTGAAGTTCAGCCAGGCCAAGTGCAAGGTCCTGCAGCTGGGTCAGGGCAGCCCCAGCAGCAGCATGGGCTGGGGGCTGGGTGGGTTGGGAGCTGCCCTGGGGAGGAGAAGGACAGGGGGTACTGCTGGTGACAATTGGATGTGACCTGGCCATGGGGACTGGCAGCCCAAAAACCAACCCTGTGCTGGGCTGATCCCACAGCGTGGGCAGAGGTGAGGGGGGATTCTGCCCCTCTGCCCACTCAGGTGTGACCTCACCTGCAGAGCTGCCTCCAGCTCTGGGGACCCAACAGAAGAGGGATTTGGAGCTGCTGGAGTGAGTCCAGAAGAGGGATTTGGAGCTGCTGGAGTGAGTCCAGAGGAGGCCACAGAGATGCTCCAAGGGCTGGAGCCCCTCAGCTCTGGGACAGGCTGGGAGAGCTGAGCGTGTTCACCTGGGGAAGGCTCCAGGGAGACCTTAGAGTCTCTTCCAGTGCTTAAAGGGGCTCCAGGAAAGTTGGAGAGGGACTTGGGACACAGGATAGAGTGACAGGACAAGGGGCAGTGGCTTCCCACTGCCAGAGGACAGGGTTGGATGGGATACTGGGGAGAAGTTTTTCCTTGTGGGAGTGCTGAGGCCCTGGCACAGGGTGCCCAGAGAAGCTGTGGCTGCCCCTGGATCCCTGGAAGTGTCCAAGGCCAGGCTGGGCAGGGCTTGGAGCAACCTGGGGGAGTTGAAGGTGTCTATGTCCACGGCAGGGTTTGGAATTGGAACAGGATCTGCAGGCATTACTCAGGGCTGCTGGTGTGGCTGCTCTGTGGGCAGGGTGAGTGATGTGACCACAGGGTCACAGATGTTCCAACTGAGCCACCTTTTGCAGCCACAGTCCTCAGACTAAGGTGGGGGTGATCCCAGCAGATGCTGCACAGCTGGACATGGCCTGGTGGGGGGCACTGGCAGGGCCTGAACAGCCTGAGTGGAGAGTGGGTGATGGTCCAAAGGCTGCTCCATGATCTGTGGAGTGTGGACCCTCCCAAGACACTTTGCTAGTCCATGCTGTGTTGGCATAAAAGGTTTCAAAACCATAAAGGTTCCAAAAAGACATGTTGAGCATCCCGGTATGGAAAGTGCCTTCCCCGCCCTGTTCCTGGCCCTGGGTTTGTTTTTCAGGAATCCACAGGGTCCCACGCTGGCCGTGGGAACCCAGCGTGCTGCTGCTGCTGGGGTGGCCAGAGGGGAGCAAACCAGCCGGCCCGGATGTGAGCTGTGGAGCTGTCCATGTTTGCCATTTCCTGTGTCA